ACACAAACCAACGATGCCAGATCCGCGTGACCGACATCATATCCAACACCTATTACGCCCGCATCCACCTCGGCCGCGTCTCCGGCGCCCCCGGCGCCCCGCCGACCGACGAGGTGGACGTCGACGCGCGCCCCTCAGACGCCATCAACCTGGCGGTACGCTTCGGCGCCCCCATGTACTGCTCCAAGAAGATAGCTGAGGCCGCGTCGATCCCGCCTGCGGAGCAGCTTGGCGCGGCGGCGGCGGCGGCGGCGGCGCTGGCGGCGGGGGCGGCGCGGGGCGGGCGGGGGCTGGAGAGCAACGCGGAGATCGTGAGGAGCGTGAGGGAGGCGCTGTCGTCCTATGACGACCCCACGGTGGGCCGCGGCCGCGGGGCTGGGGGATGGGTGGCGGAGGGACAAGACGGCCCTTTGGGTCGTGAGGGGTGATGGCTGGACAAAGTGCCCTATCGGGGCAGCTGCGCATTCTGGATGCGTCACGAGGGGGAGGGCATGACGCCCCCATGATGCCATTGGGGTGTGCAGCTTAAGCGGCGGCGGAGGGTGCAGCGCGCGCGCCCGCGCTATGCAGGGCGCAGGCGCAGGGTTGTGGGGCCGGCCCGGCGCCTTGCCGCCCACTGGCGTTTTGCTCTGCCACCTGCAGGGCCCCTGCCCATGTGCAAGCGGTGCAGCTGACGCCCACCAAACCCTGCCTGTCCGCACATCACCTTCCCTTGGCGCACCCCAACCCCCATCAGGTGATGTACCAGCTGCAAAAAGAGTTGGCGATCAAGGAGGAGCGGTTTGAGGACGCACGGTGAGCAGTCCAATCCAGTGCCCAGGGGTGTGTGGGGCAGCTCAGACCCCAGGGCGCATGCGGCCATTGACACCGAGGCGGGGCAGCCCACACAGCACGCGGTCACCCAGCGGGCTGAGCTACTGCAGGGCGGGGGCCTGGCGGTCGCTCGGCTTGTCTTGTGCTCTGTTGCGCCCGCCGGCTGCTCTGCAGCTGCGTGCGCCCGCATGCTTGTGGGCCAAAGCTGCATCCTAGCGCAGGCGCCTTGCGGAGTACCAACCCGCTTGCTCCTGAGTCTGCACCCATCCGTTTCATGCCGATGTCAGTGGGCACCGTCCCTCCCCACCGTCACCCGCGACTGCATGCACTCTCACACCCACCCACCCCCTCCGCACCTTGCCCCTGCACCTCGTCGTCTTCCTTTCCCCAACTCCTCACCCTCTCACGCCCTTCCCGTAACCTGCACCCACCCTTACTTGGCACCCGTGGCTGTCTTTCTCCCTTCCCGTAACCTGCACCCACCCTTACTTGGCACCCGTGGCTGTCTTTCTCTAACCCGTACCCATCACACTGTGACCCTTGCCCTCATCGGTCACCCGCCACTGGTCACTTGACAACGCAATCCCCCCGTCCATCACCCGTCACCCGTCACCCGTCACCCCCAGGGCCTTCCACGAGCACATCGTCCACGAGATGACTCACAACCGCCTGCTGCGCATGGTGGTGGCCATGGAGACAGCATTGGCCGATGGACGGTACGACGAGGCCGCCAAGCTGCGGGACGAATACCGCCGCGTGATTACTGAGGAGGCGCTGCACGCACACAAGAGCTCGGGCGGCGGCAGCGGCGGCGCCGCGCAGGGCAAGGAGGAGCAGCGCTAGCCGCAGCATGGCGCAGCGGCACGGCGCCCGTGCGGCGCGCGCGGCCGGGCCGGCTGCGGCGCTGTTGGGCGGAGAGGGCTCCGGATTTTCGTGCGCTCGGGGCGCGCGCAGCCTCGCTTCTTGCCGCTGGCAATGCGGCTCAGAGGCGGGCGCCGGCGCGAGCGGCTCGGCCCGCGGCCGCCCGCCCTGCGATTTTGGCGCGATCGGGCGAGCTGCGTTGTTGTGGGCGTTTTTGCGAGCCCCGCGGCGGCGGCACTGCACAGTGCAACCCGCGCCCCTCCAGGCCGTGGGTGCAGCCACAGGCCCGGCGGCGGCGGCGGTCCCGCATGCCCCATGCCGGCCGCATGCCGCGGCGCGCGCTCCAGCTGGCCGCGTTGAGGCTATCCCGCAGCCTCGTTGTTTCAACCACATATGTTGTACGGCACGCCCAGCGCCGCGGCTTTGTGCGTTGTGCACACAGCAATGTATAGGCATGACAGGAAACGAGCGGCGCTACAGGGCCTGCCCCTGGCGTCGCGCTGACCCCCGCTGGATAGGATCACATTTTGTTGTCCCATGCCGACGCCTCTTTTTGCCCCAAGCTGCGGCGCATCGCCGCTGCCGCCGCGCCCCCAAACACAATCAGATTGGCGCCAATCGCCGGGCTGGCGCGGGCCGGTGCGGGCCGGCGTGGCTGGGTTTCGTGGTGGCGGTGGCAGTTGCGGCGCCCGTCACTGACCGGGGAGTGGCGCTGCCACTGCCCAAGCGTTGGGGCGGCACATCTGTAACTGTAGAGGTTGTATCAGCATAGCTTGCAATCTTGCGCACAACCGAACCATTGCCTCGGTGGCGCCACATCATGACATCAGCAAAGTTGGCACTCTGAAGGATCTCGCCCTCGAGATGCACTGGTGGGGGGAGGGGGAGGGGCGGGGGTGCTAAGCTAAGACAGAACCTGGATGACTTCTAGTTTTGAGAAGGGCGGCACACGGAAGGGTATCTAGACGGAAGCGCCGGCACGGGTGGCAGCAGACGTAAGGGGTCTAGAGATTAGCGCGGAACCGGGGGCAATTGCACACGCACCACGGCGCCGTGCGGGTGCTGACGTCATCTGATTGAACGATAGCGGGAGAGCGGAGCCCATCGTCATGATCGCGCAAAGGCAAGACCAGCGTTGCACCTTTGCCCCAAGAAATTAAATCAATGCTCTTCAAATCTTGTGGTGCTGTCCATCTTCAACAACACACCTGCAAGGGCGCAGCCTCGGCGTGGCGCAGCGGCATTGTAACCTGCATCGGCACCCGCCAGCACCGACGCTGTGCAGCCAGCCAGCAGAGCCAGCAGCAGGGCTATCGAGTGCTGTAATGCATGCCTCTAAACAGCTGGTGCTTGCAGGCCTCCATTGTCTCCTTACGTCCTTGGCCACAATTTTGGGATTGCCCGGGTGAGGCCCTTGTCGCCCATCCCCTGGCTCAGCAAAAGTCGCGCATGCCCCGTATGCATAGAGCGTAGGCGGGGCTCAGCTGGGTTTCTGAGGCTGGCTAGTGGCAGTGATCTGTACTTTTTCAAGGCCACGCATAGCAGCAACAAAGCAGCGGCGAGCCAATGGCCACAACCAAGCCTATGCCGAGCCGCTATTTGTGGCTCAAAGCGATGACAGCGTTGGATGTGGCTCTGTCAGACCTCGCCTCACGCGCGGCGGCGGCGCGCTCTGCTGACGGCGCTCGCCTATCGCTCGGAGAGGGGGTCAGCCTGGCAGTCGCCAAGTTCAAGGAGGTGTACAACAAACCACTCACGTCGGTCATGTACATGGCGGGCGTGGCCATGGCCCCCAGTATCAACAAGCAGGCTCAGCAGGACAAGGCGGCGATTGAAAAGCTCGTGAGCACGCCTGGCCCGGCCCCACCCAAATGTGTGCACTGTATGCTGCGGCGCTGGCCTCCAGGCGCCGGCCTGGCTGCCTGAATTGCAATTCAGCCCATCTGGTCTCCAGCTAAGTCAGCAGTGCGTGCATGCCAGTGCGACATCGTCGGCCACAGGGGGGGCAACAGCTGTGCCCCCTGCGCCCACCGTCGCTCCGCGCCGCCCGCAGGTCGTGCGGTTGATTCCGAAGCCGTCGCCGCGCAGCATATGCATAGGGGATGTGGTGGCGTTCAACAGCCCCCTCGACGCTCAGGGTGAGACGCGGCCGCAGCCCTGCGTATCCGCACCTCGCCCCTCCCAACTCAGCACCACCCTAGCGCGGCTTGAAAAGGCGTGGCGCGAAGGGTTTCTGCGTCAGCAGCCACCCGTCGGCAGCCTGAATTCGCCTCGACAGCGGGCCTGCAACGCGGGCGCCCCTCGTACTTCCTGGCGGCGGCGCCCATCCCGCCGCGCCTCCCCCAACCGCCCTTCCCACCCTCCCCCGGCCACGCGCTCGCACACACGCACACACACACACACACACACACACACACACACACACACACATACATACATACATACATACATACATACATACATACATACATACATACATACATACATACACACATACATACATACGCACGAACACCACCACCCCTGCGCGCGCACGAACCTGGCTGCTGTCCCGCCCTGCAGGGGGTCACGTCATGGTGCGGCGCGTGGCCGCGCTGGAGGCGTCAGAAATGGTGTCTGACGAGCCGGATGACGCGCCCTTCCGCATTCCGCCCGGCCACTGCTGGGTGCTGGCGGACAACCCCGAGCTGTCGCCGCCGGACGTGATCGACAGCCGCGCGTTTGGTGGGTGGGGGGCGGCGGTGGTCGGGGACGGGCGGCCAGGGGAGGGCAGGGGCGTGGTGGCGGGCGAGGGCGGCGGAGGTGGCTGGCGGAGGGCATGGGGGAAAGAGAGGCAGGCGGAGGCGGGCCATCCAGGCGGACGCAGGCAGGCAGGCAGGCAGGCAGGCAGGCAGGGTCAAGAGGGAGGCAGGGACGAACGGAGGCAGGGAGGGAGGCTGCGCGGCAGGTTTTGCGGTTAGCGGGGCCTGCTGCATTGCGGGGGTAAAGGCGGTGGAGGGCAAGCCTACGGGTTTCACAAGGCGGCAGCTGCACTCAGTGTTCGCACATGCACATGCACACACTCACGCGTGCACACACACACACAC